TATGATGGCCGGTTTTTTAGGTTTGTTATGATTTTTTTCTACGATCAGTAAATAGATAGAGTTTTAAGTTTATTTTAATATGTTACCATATATTTCGATAATATAAATATTAATTTTAAACTAAAAATATTGGTTAGAACATAAGTTACAGCGTTCAGGACGCCTCGAAAAAATGGGTTCGCACTTTCGACTGATTGACTTATCTGAACAAAAAAAATTGGACTTTATTTTAGACATTTAAAAAAATTTGCGAATTTTGCGTTTTTTTTTTGCTTTTGCTGTAAAATGTTAGTTGTTGATAATAGTTTACTCCATACAAATTTCATGTTTTTGAATTACAATGGAGCAAAGTTTGAAAAAAAACAGCTTTGAGAAAAACGCATTTAAAGACTTCGACTACCAACTCAGCGCTACGAACAGCTCCTTCTTCTAACTGCTGAATCTTTAAAATGACTTTGAATCTTTACTCAGTTTACTACCGTATCTAGACATGTTAAGCTAGCAAATTATGAAAAAAAAAACATTTTTTGAGCTCATCACAAGACATGACCCCCTTGAAAATCAAACATATTACAATTCTTAAATATTTTAAAAATTTGCAGAGTTTGCGGAAATTATTTAATATAAGTATATAGGAGTATAGTTGTATAAATTGCTTAAAGAGAGTTTCCATTTTCTCGTAAATTTTCCTTGCTCACTCTTTCGTTGCTTATATCTAGCTTTAAATAACACAACTTTGACGGAACTATCTTTTTAAACTCTCCTATAGAAAAAATTAGATATTTGATCCAGCTACCGTTCTAGTTTGGCGCATAACTAACCATGAAGGTTCAAGGGGTTAATGTATAAGGAGATTTCTCGAGTCAGAAATGCACTCGAAAGTTTGCCTGCCATCCCTACCAGTTAGTGCAATGAGTGAATGTATTATGTTATATTAAAGGCATAGGCTAACTAAAGAATTTATATCTTCTCGAATAAAATCAAACTTCTTGCAGATATCTTTAATATTATCGGTTATGTAGATCCAACAAGCGTTATTTGTGTTATATCCTCAGAGCAAGGAAAAAGCCGCTGCCGGAAAACTCTTTTTTCTAGAGAACTTGTTCGGGCGACGTTAATCCTAAGAGCACGTTTTATTTCAAACAAGCTAAAGAAACATTAGTTTTTTAAACGAAACGTTCAACTTTCGACTGGACAATTTTATGGAATTCTAATTTTTTGGAACTCTAAAGCCTACTTTAAGCAAAAAACCAACACTTTAAATTTTTTGAAAATTCTAGATTGACCTAACCTCTTGAACGTAATCTCTCCCCATTCGTTTTTCGCTGTTATTAAAAACCCTTTTCTGAAAACTACCGCAGCAATCCGTACAACGTATTGTGCATGGGTATAAAAAAGAAATATTGCAAAGTTATTGTAGCGTAAACTCGATCAATGATATGAAACTTGTTCACTTACTCGCGTACAACAACAACTCTAGCGTCGGTATATTAGCTAGTGTTGTTGTTGTAATTATTTGACATTACAATAAAAAAACTAAGGTATAAAAAAAGCATGCCCTTTACAGGACACTTCAAAAATTCTGCAGAACAAACGTGCACACACATATTTACATACAGACATACATAAATACATACAGCTAAACATATCCACAACGAAACATACATATGTATGTATGGTTTGGTGAGTGATATGCCCACCCTAATTACACCCAACTGGCCAACCCACTTTAAAGCGACTGTCAAATTTAATAGGGATTTATTACAATTAAGCAACTGCAATAACAATAACAATATTGCACATAAATCTTGGCAATAAGCCAAATTGTGCATTTGTATTGGGAAATTTTCACTTATTCTTTTCTTTGACGCCACACCCTACTACCCAATTTCAATTTTCCTGCCATTGTCCTTTCGTATCTTCTCACAAAGCGTCTTGTGCAATTTGCCACCTTTGCCACACAATTCGCAATTAATTAGAATGCTTTGGAAGTTCGCGTGTTTTCTTCTTTAAAATTTCTACTTCATTTCAAAGGCTCTCCATACCGTTAATTAAGAATTATGGCAATTGCGCTGTCTTTCTTAGTTTCTTTCATTCATCAGCCAAACAATGCGAAATCATTTGCGCTTGCCGGTAAAAATGAAAAATTGCACTCAAACAGCAATAAAACAATAAAAACAATCAATAAATAAATTTTAGCAAACAATTGTTTTGTAAGTACAACTACATGGAATTAGTACAACAACAATAACTTATGGATAATGAAGCGCAACAATTTTCGATTTTCATTATTCGCACACCTTTTTTTTTGCGTTGTTTCTCACATAAGTGGACGAGTCAGGACATAATTTACTCAACTATAGAATTCTTATATCTAGCATTACTCATATGAGAATGTGGAATAATTGTATTTCTTACCACAGATAGTTTAAATACCGCAGTAAATTTCTGCTGAAATTTGGAATATTTCCCACCAATTCAAATCCAGACCCTATTCTCTTATAGTTGTACCACTTGCTCAGCTGTCTGATGGGACATAAAGCACTGAAATACCCCGAGAAGCTTAGTGCAGCTAGTTCTTTTAGAGTTCAGTGTCTATCTGAGTCAGGGAAATCACTCCAGAGCTTTATTCGTCGCTGCTAAGTTAAAAGGCACCCGATATTTATATTCTAATCAAAATTATTTTCAGGAAACTTCCAGTCAGTGTTGAATAGTCTTGCTTTTAGACGTATTACGACTAGACAACCATGCTCACAATATGACACCATGTTAGTCGTACCAAAACAGGACTCCTATTTTACTTATATATGCTAGTTGTAATACACACCATAAAGTCCAATCGTACTTACGCTCAGACTACTGGAGATCTCATCCATTGTCTACGTGAATAAATTTATCAAGAAAGTTGATCTGAACATGATCTCAACTGTTGCCTAGACTACTGTAGTTGTTATCACAAATGGACTCTCGACTTAAGCTGTGTATGCTGTTTTACGCGGCGGATCGCAAGCACAGATCACAGCTCTGCAGTACCAGGCTTAAGTAGATAATAGTAACATATTCCAAAAAAGATGATTCTGAGTGGGAAGACATACATATCTAAGGTAAGCAGCTACACTGGATTTCTCCGAAATTAAGTAATATGAATTTGACGCATCATACATACTTTCTGCTCTCTCATATTTTCCATCGTCCTAAACCCAGATTATAAGTGTTCCAAAGCCATATCTTAATACCCTAGCCATCGAGATCACTTGTGTTTTGAAAAACAAAGCTTGATAATGCTACCCTCGTCGTTCTCCAAAAGCACAACTAAGTATATGTATCATAAGGATGCGTTCTACTGGCTTTATACAATTTATTGTAAGAAAAATTCTAGTGAATTCACAAAGTAAAATTTTGGACTCAACTCAAAACCTAACCTAACTCAAAATGATTAATATTAATATCTTAGTTCCAGATATTCGTACTCTTATCTGGTACTTTCCAATTTTGACTGTTTTTAACAAAATAGTCTATGTCTAATCATGTCTGTCTGGTCAAATCGTGTCTACTTCAGGTTGCATTAATTTTGAGATTATAAAAGTTCCGAGACTAGTTCTGGTTGCATTAGCTTCGAGAAAAATTATGACAGTTGTGCATTGCTCTCACAGGTTGACTTTAGAGGTTGTTGTACTCGATTTTTACAAAAAGAAAGTTCTTACTTAGGTGTTCATAGTTGTGTTCCACAAACAAGTAGAATCTCAGTTAAATTTAGGGACTTTTGCAATCTTGTGGTTAGACCATGAGGCAATGCTATCTGGAGGAACCTAATTGCACACTATACTTTTGTGTTAGTATATAATATATATACCCAAATCATATTTATTTTATCATACGAACTCGATATATATCCTTAAACCACAGAGACATATACATATATAATTATATATATGTGCGTATAAGGACTGCGGACTCATACTCTAAGTTTTACTACTAGGGTGCAGTATAATTAAATACGAGCACATAAACCATAAAGGTGGGCTAAAACATTAACTGCCATACCTTTGTGCATAAGTACACTTACGCACATACATATATATATATGTATATAATAATGATATACAATCGGGTTTGAGCCACCCCTAGGGCAGGCGCATTAGCCACTCATACATATGCAGGAACACACATATGTTTAATATTTGAGAAAATAATACATAGGTGAGCAGAGAGGTGTACAAAATCAGATGTTAGTTTTCTCAGCAGAGCCAAAAGCAGCGACAATGGCTACGCGCACAATTGGGAGGCGGCCGCACAACCGCAGCCAACTTCAATATGCACAAGAAACAAGGCTAAAATATGACAAGGGGAGACTAATAGCTGCTTATGGTGCTATAAGGCATTAGCGCCGGCACCCAATCTAGGGGTTGAAACTATACACTAACACTCACACATGTGCGCAGACACAGCCACATTGGCGCAAGCGCATTGAGGTGACGTGTTGCTGCTGCGCTTTGCGCTGCGCATGTGTAACGTTAAGAACGAAGCTAATGTATTTGTGATTTGTGTGTATATTCAATATTGCTGTGCAATTCATATGTATGTCTGTGTGTGTGACGATGTGTCTCTCTAAATTCAATTTACGGTGTATTGTTGTGCAGCAGACTTTAGTGTTATTAAAGTGCTTTACATACACACAAACCTACAAGCGTGTTACGTATAGAGTATCAATGGGCGCTGTCGTTGGCAGAGAGGTAGAGCGCCAGAATAATTTTTTTTTTCTGTGCCTCGCCCATGTATGTGTTGGCATTGTGCCACAACACCAACAGTCACCGAAGTCATTTCCTGCATTTTTTGGTGGATGGCTAGATGAATAGAATTCTACGCTCAACATTTTCGAGTGACTCGCCCTGTATTCAGCTGAGCCGAGCAGCGCTGCTCAAACTGACGTTGCTATGCTATGTGTTTTGTGTGCTGCGGTGTGGCGTGGTGTAGCAAGGCAAGGTAGGACGTTTGTTGCGAGCGACGCCCCATGACATTTCATTGCAAGACATCGGGCACGCGACAACACAAGCAACGCAGCTGTCCTACCAACAGGATCAGGACACTCACCTCTATAGCAAGGAACGGCCGCAGCAACAGCAACAGCAAGAGTGACTGTGAAGTCAAACGAGAAATTCGAAATTCGGTGTACTTTGTGAAATTTTGTCAGTGGCGCAACGGTGTATTCGTAAACGGGCTAGTGAACGTGCTGGTTGTGGCGGGAAAATAAATAAACTGAATTTTAAAAAATATTTCTTGCGTAAATAACCATTAAAATTTCAAAAGCTGTTAGTGACCAGTAGTGTATAAACGCAACGTCGACAGCATTAAAGGTGGGCACGTGCGCTAATTAGCAGCTCCACAATCAGTAGCGCCCACACGGCTTGCGTATGGCGCTGAGCATACTCAGCTACAACCTGCCGCAAGGCCTAAAGATGAGCACCAACAATGGCATTAACAAGAGCAGCGCTAATGCCAGTGCCAGTTCGCCCACCGATAATGAGAATGCGCCCAATAACAGCAACGGTGGACGTACAACCATCAGCCTTGGCAAGTCCTTCAGTCGCATCACCATGCAAAATGTTTTGAGTGAGAGTAGCGGTAATGCGCTGAATATCAGCAACAACAGCAATGTTAACACGATCGTACGCAAGATTAAAGATTTCGGCATGTACGCGAGCGTAAATAATGCGGGCGCGCTGAGCACCACAATGACTGGACGCAAGCGCACGGCTAGCGAGGCGGCTAAAGGAAAGACGGAAGCTAAAGCAAACGAAGGCAAAACGGAAAAACCCAAGGTGCCCAATAAGCGCCTAAAACTTGCGAATAAAGCTGAAAATATGCGAGAAAAACCGCCAAAGGCCGTAATCACGAAAGCTGCAGCCACAAATCCCAACCGTCCAAAGTCAAATACGCCTGGTGCGAAGAAACCCGCTGGCACACCCGGTCGCAAGGGTTTACCACTACCACAGGCGGTGGCACGACGTAATGCGCGTGAGCGCAATCGAGTTAAGCAAGTGAATAACGGTTTTGCCGCATTACGTGATCGCATACCCGAAGAGGTGGCTGAAGCTTTCGAGGCGCAAGGCAATGGACGTGGCACAGTGAAGAAGCTCAGCAAAGTGGAGACGTTGCGCATGGCTGTCGAGTATATACGCAATTTGGAGCATCTACTCGGCTTTGACTTCCCCATAGGCAGCGATCGTGGTCTATCGCTCATGCATGGTGGTTCGTCAAGTGATGATAGTTTTACATTCATTAAAGACGAATTCGATGCGCTCTCCCCACCACTGGACGACAACACTTTTGATGATTCTCTGAGCAACTATGATGTCGATGAATATTTGAATAGCACAGACTTTGGCAATAATCAAACGATCTCACAATCAGACATTAGCGCTACCGATGCAAACGCCTACGAAATGGATCTACTACCAAGTCTAACGACCATCAATGGCATGCAGTATATACGCATACCCGGCACCAATACTTATCAGCTGCTCACGCCGGACACACTTTTCATGGGCAATACGCCGCACTCGCCGCCAAACTCGAGTCTTGATGATGAGTCCTTTCAAACCTTAATCGACACTAATTGCCTAAGTCCTGTGGCAACAACATCATCACCGCATATTTCGCCATCATCTGCAACGTCAATTAACGCTGCACCTGCCGCAACTGCAGCGTCGTTGGTAGAAGCGGCAGCCGCCTTACAGCAACGACAGCGTCCTGCTGGGGACTTGGTCGACGAGTGTGTAAATGTAGCGGTTGCCAGCACATTATCGCGATCGCCGGTGCAATCATCCCCAACACAGCGCTTAATATTAAATCAACAACAACAACAACAACAAGAGCACCAACAATATCAGCCACAAACACCAACGCAGGGGTCGTCCAACTTATCACCTGCCGATAATGATGCACTTTTATTACAGGCGTGTGCCACAACGAGTGCCACCGCCGATGAAGTCGATGGTAATGAGTGCCGCACTGCGAACGAACGCCAACGGTTTGTCGTGGCATTGGCAACCCCTACAACGCTGTCACTGCCCTCGCCGCACGCGATTAAACAGGAATTTAATGATACATTAACGGACTTTGTCCCCTCCAATACGACGTCTTCGTCCCAGCATATGTCCGCGGGCGGTGCAATGGTATTCCAACAACATCAGCAACAACAACAGCAACAGCAACTGCCACACAGTTTATTACTTAGTCACGCGCCTTTGTCCACAATGTCGCCACCGTTGGAACGTTGCCGGTCAAGTGTCACACCGTCATCGCAGCTAACAACAACTGCAAGCACATCTCCCACATTGTTGTTTGTGCCCAACGGTGCAACAACCCCCACAACACCGGGCCTGCCATCATTCTACGACACCGACGCGGATAACACTTTCTATGAGACCGCGCACATATCCTTCAAGAAAGAATACCAAGACGCTTTGCTCGATGTGGCGGCAACAACAAATACAAACGACGTGGTAAGCGGGCTGCCCGACGAGAATATCATCGAGGTGTTGGACTGGTGGGAAGCGCACACACCGAAATCGGATGGTGGTGTAGCATTGCTGTAGAATTAGAGCAATTAGTGGTTGTTGCTGAGGTGGGGTAATGGGGGAAATTTCTCTGAAATTCATCGCTTTGTTGCGAAAATTGTTGATGACGCTTACATTTTTCGAAAATGGCTCGAATTAGTCATAAGTTATGTAAGGATATTTTCTCTTTTATACATAAATTTATTCCATTAAGATAAGTCTTTGTACATATTTATATACCCAGTACATATATATATATATATATATATAACTTATAATTCTATTAGTTAATGCCAGTGTTATAAACAAGACAAAAAAGCAAAAGCAAAAATATGCAAAACAAACAATTATTCTAAGTTATCTCGGAAGACATTTGATTAAGTTTATGGAAATATCATTAAATCGGTTTTGGTTAAATTGTAGTTAAAATTATTACATACTTGTATATACATAAATATACATACACATTTGTACTGATAACATCTGAAATAAAATTATTTCTTTACAACTTTACTATGTTTTGTTTGTAAAAATAATTTTCAAATGGTATATTGCGCCAAATATATCTCAATAGGTTCATAGTTTTTTTAGGTATTCAAAACAAGTTTTTGAAGATCGATTTAACATATACTTTAATCTTGCTATACTTGTAAAAACTAAACAGAACAGAATTATTCTTGAACAACATTTTTTAGTCACAATAACTGTTTTTGCCTAGAGACTATTGTTTGGCAATCCAACGCTGTACGATCTAGACCAGTGTAGAAGCCTTTGAAAATGAAAAAAAGAAATCATAGTAAAACGATTAAAAGCTACTTTTTTTCAACCATTTACATATAATTTCACAGTAGCAGCTAGAAAAAAATCATTTTTTTTAGTGGGGTCTTTTTTATAATTTTTTTAAGCAAATGTATATAAGTTATATACCATCTGAAAGTAGAGACTTTCAAGAACATCAAGCCAACTTTTTTTTTAAAAAATTTGATACTTTTATTTGAAATTTTTTGATTAAAAATTTGGAATTTTTTTCGATATGATGTCAATATAAAGAGAAAAAATAAATATTTTAAATAGAAAAAATACGGTATATTTACTACATAAAATGGTACGTTTCCACCAAATTTCGTGAAAGAACAAAAAATTGTGTACAAGATAAAAATAAAAAACCCAAAAAGTTATTTATTTTAACATTACACATACATTTTGAGATTATGTGAAAAACGTCAAAATACAAAAATTATAAATATTTTCATTACCTACAACATTGCATTATAACTCTTTTCTGTAGAACCCGTAGTATTGCCATAAATCGAGATAAACCATCTTGACCCTTAAAAATTCAGCCACTCCCCATCTCTTCGTTTTCCCGAACTCAGTTCGTCTGTAAATTATTTTTGCCTTAATGTTTGTCATTTAATCTTTCGTTTCCGATGTGCTTCAATCTACTAAGATTTTTTTTGTTTTGTTATTTTTTAAATCTACCCTGCCCTAATCTTTGTGCTTAAAATTTCACATTTTCTTTTCGACATTATTCAAGTTAAAATACTCTGAAAGTAAATAATTTTATCGTTATATGTGGTTATTCCTTATTGATGTATCATATATATTTAAAATGTTCGATAGGTGTTTTGAATTAGGATGTGTCTGCTAGTGGCTCACTAGGCTTTCTTTGACATCCCATCCTGTACAAAACCTACTGCAGTTTGAGCAGACCAATATTCGAAAGCAGGTATTACGTCGGCGTGGTCAAACAATATATCTAAATGATCATTCACGCATACCTATTATATTTAAATATATAAGTATGTATATTTATATTGGTTCTGACTTTGAGTTAAAAATATAGAACAAATAAGTAATCATTATACTGAGATCGATGTTCTTGTGGAAGGGTTAATGTGCTAAAAAAGCATTTTTAATTGAATAATACTTCAATAATTTGTGTCAAATTTGACAAAGTTGGATAAATTTTTACACCTTTAAGCCTGTCTTATCAACGTGTTATGTCAGAGCTGAGTCGATTTAGCCATGCATGGCCGTCCGTTTGTACATGCGCGAACTAGTCCCTCGGTTTTTAAGATATCGATCAGATATTTTAACCACACCCTTTTCTCCCCAAAAGCTATTAATTTGTTGGCACCGCCAATATCGGTTCATTATGGCACACAACTGTCACACAAACTGATCGATCCAAATGAACTCTTTGTATGGAAAATTTTTTTATTTGGGAAATTTATTTATTATTTTCGCTTTTGGGAAAATCCTATCGGGCCTTGTATACAGCTTAGTTTTCCTCAGAGATAAACTCAAGTTCAATGTACTAATGATTCGTTAAAAAATTTCTGACCAATTATCATATTATTATTTAGATAACCTTTAGCTTTTGTTGCAAAAACATGTATGTATATACTTGTATATTTTGACTCAGTCCGCCTACTGCAGATATATTGAAGCGCATGCGTACATAAGCACATAAATCTAAACAAATATTGAAATTAATGATAGATTTAATTGCATTTAATATGCGACAAGATCGAGTAAAGCACCATAAATTATCCTGTTTATGTGTCAGATACCGCAAGTTATCCCTTCTGCATACAAACAGACAATAAGAAACCGTTATAAAATTATCTACCATTTTTTATGCATTTTTCTGGAAGTAAAACACGAAATGCCTAAACGGGACATGATCGAAACCACAACCAGAACAAATACGGGCAAACCGGAAACGACCTGTAACAACTTTTGTAGAACTATGTACATTTGTAAATGAGTACAACAACCATTAACGGCATAGAGGAAAGTAATAAAATTAATGAACGCCGTTGAAAGCAGCAAAGCATTTTAAGCATTTTTGTACTTGTCCACATAAGGTAACAGTTTCGTTGGTGCCATATGAAAATTTTGAAGCCATTATGCCTATGTATATGTGCATACATATGTGTGTGATATATGGTGAGAACTATACCCACCGGCAGTCATTAAGCGCGCAGGACGTAAAGTAGCTACTAACAGCAATGTCCCAAATAAGTAAATTTATGTAGGAAAATATTTACATGCAAGCAAGGTACAATACACATATGTATGTATGTGTGTATGTGTACTGCCAACGGTTTCCTTTCAGTTTTTTTTTTTCTTTCCATTTCCCTCGCTCTATCTTCTGATCATTATAATCTTTGTATGCGTCCAAGCATGCAAAGCATATGGCAATGGCCAAAGCATGAGACGAGGGGAGTAGCACAAATACTTAACATAACATAGCATAGCACAGCACGGTGTGCCATATGACAACGCAGCGCGCTGAGTCTTCGCGCAATAACTGCTAAGTAATGTCGAGGCGGTGTCTTAGTATCCCTGCAACAAAAGTGAGAAGCAGCGAAATATTCAAATGAGTCGCGCAGGCGCAGTGACAGAAACCCATCACAATGATGAGCCGAAATCCACCGCTGGCGTTTATAACAGCGAAAGGTATTACTCACACGCATACCATACATAAATACACATTTTCCATACCGAATATGTTATTATTATCCCGAAGCGCATAAAAATATGAATTTATGGGAAGTTTTGCGTAATCATCGGTAATTTTTGAGCATACCGCTAGCTATCCAGCTATCGAATATCCTGCAATGTCCTGCCATATACGGATTCTATTATATTTACGCTTGAAGAGGCCATTAGAGTACATTTTATTACAACAACATCGGTAAATAAACTGCGCCAACGTAGAAAAACAGTTATGCGTACATATTCCCATTAAAAGTATGTGTGTGTATGCTTGCACGCTTGGCAAAATATCAATCCGCATCGATGCTTGAAGCTATTCAGCAAACTGTGGACCAGTAAATGCAAAAAAAAAATCTCTTTATTATAATCCTCAGAAGTGCCTCGAGTGCATGACTGCCCCAGAAATTTTAACGCAATGATTGACGGACTGACAGAATGACTCTCTCACTGACTATTAGTCGAACTGACAGTGTGCGCTCTTTCCCTAACATTGCGCATCACTATTGGATATTGTCAAGGCTCAGCGCGCATACCTTGCATATAACTATCTGCGGCAGTGTCCTCCAACAACAACAGCAACGCAACATGGCCAACAATCGCGCTACACCGATCGCACACGATTCGAGCAGCGAGCGCGTTTCGAACGTGGGAATTTGGCGGACTGTGCGCTGCGTGTTTACCTTTAATATATGTACATATGCGTCTGTGTTTGTGTGTGTTCTGCTGGAGTCGCCAAGTGTCCTTTTCCCAGGAGTTGGGTGTTCAATCTTCACATAACCTTTTTTCAATTATTTTCATTTTTTTTTTTTGTATATTTTCGATATTTTCGCTCTGTTGATATTTGTTGTGCTTATGGTTTTTGATCTGCTTTGAAAACGCCTTTGCCAAGCAACTGGGTGCTGTCAGGCTTATTTCCTTAGGCGCCGCATCATCTCTCTTTTTGAAATTAAATTTGATTAAAGATCCGAATTATAACATTTTTTCGGCTATTTATCAGCATAGTGCGATAGTTCGAAATGCAAAAACAAAAAAATATGACATCGGCTGCACCGAAACTATAATACCCTTCACAGGTGCATTTCTTATAGCATAAAAGGTTATAAAAAGATCTTTATTGTGATTTGGTTCGACCGGTTTGTATGGCAGTTATATGCTATAGTGGTCGACTCGATTTAAATCAACTCAGCTTCGCATGCTGATCATTTATATGTATATATATGTATTTTGTATACATAGTCTCCGACGTTTTCTTCTGGGTACTACAAATTTCATAACAAACTTAATAAACTATTTTTAGGGTATACAAATATTTATTACAAACATATATTTATAAGCTCCTATGCAAGCATATTTGTTTGCTTCCATCAGCGACTCTTTAAAAGTACAAAACTGAAAACAACAACAAGTAAGGTACTTCTTATCCCATAAGTCGGTTATCCTGCGGCGCTTTGCACCCATTCTTCATCAGCGTTGCCCCGCAAGTAATACCTTTAATATATCACCGTGTAATTTACATATTCATGCACTTAATATTAATTTCTCGTGCAGTAAATTTATGCTAATTTATAAGTAACCTTAATCACATTTTTCTCCATGCCAAGCGACAGCTTTTCTTTTTCTTGCTCTACTTCTTTTTAAGCATGCACTCCTATAAAATGCCATATAAAGCGCAGGCGCACATACTCACCCAAATCCTGGTTATGGGTGCGATTTTTTCGTCTTCTGGGTGACATTCAGCGCCTTTAAAATTTCACATCGTTTTTTTTTCATCTGCTACTTCTCACAATACTTTCACTAATTTCACGCCTCAC